CAATGTCAATAAAGATGTCTCCCAAACCTGATAAACACCTTTAATATCAGAGCTAATAACTTGTCGGGGCTTAGGATCACGGAAAGCTTTGAGAAGGAAGAATGTTTAAGTGCCCATGCCCAAGCTGTGCAAACACAAGCTATGCTGGGTGAGCTGAGGGGCACAGGGGAGGGCCTGGCTGCACCCTTGGCTGCTGCCAGCATGCCAGCTCTGCGGCTGTTGACCAGCTAGGGTAGGAGATTCCAGCCCACTGGCCCCAATGACTCGTTCTTGTGGAACAAAGCCCATCTCCTCTAACACAGCTTTTTCCCAGGAACTGGCCCACATCAAATAAAATAAATAAATCACAAGTGTTTTGTGAAGGGGAAAAAAGAAAGTTCCTGCTGTACATAGCTCGGGGGAGCAGATGTTTTTCCATTAGCTCACTGTTCTGTGCTGCACTGCCTCTCTTCGCATTTCTTGTTTGTGGCATGTTCGTTATAATCCTTTTTTTCCTAGGGTAAACTTTAGCACGTTACTGAGACAGCAGGTAGCCCACTCCAGGCCCCCATTATTTTTCTCCAAATGCTCCTTTAAATTAGCCTTAGTGTCTACCTGGTGAGGTTCACAGGCTGAGCTTAGCAGGCATTTAGCCAAACTTAGATCAAATTACCAGACCTACTTTGCTGTGAGTGGCCATATTTGGTAAAGTATTGGGTTAGTCAAGAAGCTAAATTGTCAGATATAAAGTACTAGTAAAGACAAACAAAGTGGACATCGTAGTTAAAAGTAAAGCTTAAAATAATATAGTAACGGAAGCTGGAATGTCAGAACTCTTATTAAAACTGGCTTGCAGCATTCTAAAATGCTCTGTGTAAATAGAGCATATGGTTATTACTGCCTGGAAATATAACCACATGTACTTCAGATAAGGAATCACTCCAGTTACCCAAAGAGCTTTGAACTATTAACACTATTTCTTTTCAATACTGACATGCTTTGCTCTCTGGGTCAAAAGTGATCTTATAAAAATGTCGAATGAAGGTAAATGTTGGTCATAAATTTGAACGATTTCAAGTATATTTTCCTTAGCCAAACAGCATGACTCTATTTTCTAAACAAAAAGGAGGAGTACTGGCAGGATTTTAAAAAGTATTAGCACCAGTAATCTCTAGGATTCCCCTTGCAGCTCTTCCAGCAGCAAGAGGGCGGAGTTAACAAGCTTTACCAATGCCACAGAAGTTCATTCTCTCTTCTCGAAGTTGCGTTCAACCTCTCAGTTACAAAAAGCAGAACAAAGAGGAGAAATGAGTATATTGATTACATAAAGACCACCTCTCCTGGAGCTGCACCACCGCAGCATGTGCACTGTAGCACCGTTCCTAAGTACTCCCTGAAATGAGCTGTTTCTCAGACTTGGGGCCAAGAATAATGTTTAGGCTTATAAATGTTAAAGTGTTCCAAGATGACTCTTTTTAAGAAGCCATTACATTACATTTCAGGAGAACTAGGGGGGGTTATTGTTAAAAAGGACCAGACAAGCTGTGTTAACAATCTTTGCTGCAGAACACTTGAAAACGGAGTATGCCTATTAATATGGCTGCTGCAGGGATAGACCACCTCTCTAGTCCTTGGGGACAGCATACCTCATACTCTTCCAAAGCTAACTCTGACTGCCTGCAGGAAAAACAGGAAGCTATGGAAGGCCACAAAAGTAATGTTTTAAGTTCCCTGCTGCACATGACTGCACTCCCAGGTGGTCCTATAAGAGATAGCTGGACAGAGGATTAACAGTGAGAATTCACAGTTTTATTTTGATGCATGAAAGAGAAAATGACTTTCTAGAGATCACAGATCCATCAAGCAGCTCTTTGGTGTTTACAGGAAGCTACAAAAAACTATCTTGCAAAAGATCACTAGGCATTGCTACAGGGAAAGACAAGGTGTAGCATCTGTTACAGTAGAGCACATTTGGACTTAGCAGCTGCATATCCAAAGCTGCTGCTTTATTATCTTTCCTACATAACTGTGCTGGTCATAAACCCAGAAAAGTTATAGATAAAACCACTAAGTTTCTGCCCTCTTACGTGCAGTGTAAGTATCTTTATCACAGCACAAAAGAGATTAACTATTTGCATAGGGTTCACAGCCTTGCCTTCAGCCACTGCTAAAGGAGCACACATGTTCTCATGAGCTAATTGTGAAACTCATTAGGGAACAAGGGCTCTCCAGCTTGGAGGGACTGAGGATGCTTCTGTACAAGGCAGGAACTTGTATTGCAGCTGCAGGTGGAGGATGATCCAGTAAGGATTCCCCTGTATAACCACCAACAACACTCCCTTTCACAAGTATACGTGCTGATTTTGTGGCCTGTCCTGGCTGCTGGAAGGTTGTAAGAACAACCTCCCATAGCTGTGGGATAGCTGGTTCTGTGTGCCTCTTTCCTATATCAGTGCAGAAAGCTCTACAGGATCAGTTGGTTGCCACCATTAGTTTTCATGTCCTGGGATACAAATGGGCATTGCAACTGCAATGGCTCTAATGGAACCCAGACAAGATTGCAACTTGGCACTCTAAATCCATACCCTCATACAGAGACGCAGCCAGCTGCATCCTGTTAGTGTCTGAAAAGGATGGATGCTTTGTTATAAATTTACTGTAGTATGAGGTTAGGAAATTGTAATAATTTTATCTAAAGATTTATGAGTCATGCTAAAAAGGTCAAAGTGTTAATGACAACAAAAACAGCAACACGCAAGTCATTTCCCAAAGGCAGACTAACATTTTTTCCCTTTAGAGATAGGACACTGAGGTATGAAAAAGTTAGGCAACTTGCCTGGAGTCACAAGATGAGTCATCGATTGAAAAAGGACAAGTGCAAGCTAAACCTGATAAAAATCTACAGCATACTGATGCAGCTCTTCCATGAATATGAAGAGACTCTGTATGCAGCCATCAGAATATTACACTAGTAGCCTGTTGCTTTCCACAGCTGTTAATTTTGGGGTAACCTGTAATGCAAAAGCATGTGACTACCTCAACTGCCATTAGCCTTGCATTTCTGTTTAATTTGTTGTTTATGAAATATCTCTATTCTGGAAGTTATTACCTTCTTACAAGTATACTTGTTTCTCCTTTCCCCTCCTTCCAAATGGAAAAGATTCTAGTACTGAAGGTCAGTGATACCCTTCTGGACTGTTACGCTCACTAAGCCCAGTGTAAGATCAAGTCACTTCCAAGAAGTTCTAATTATTCAGGCACAATGCCCTTCTCCATAGAGAGTAAAGACTAGCCCAAAATACCTGCTTCTCTCTTTGTCCCTCAGGATACCAGAATGCAGCAACTTCCACACTACTGTGCAAAGAGAATGGCCAGTACCTCACCAAGAGCTCATTAAGCTGCATCCATAACAATAACTGACTCCAGTAATGAAATTACAAAGCAGTCACAGTGTGTGTTTTGAAAATATCAATCCTGATTCAAGTCCAGCTACAAGTAAGCATGAAGCAAAACAAAGATTTAAAAAATGATAGGACAGAAAAGTTACAGCCTATAAAAATAAATTCTATCTAAATGAATTAATTAACACCTTTGAGAAAGGCACTCTATTCACACAGAAAAGCAATCACTGCAATTCACAGCTAGGTCACAGCAAGCACTAGGTCTTTATTGCTTTTTGTCTTTTTAGACAGCATCGAAAATGTAAACTGCCTAGAGCTATTTGCAGGGTGATGGACAACTGACTTCTCATCACAATAACCTCCATCTATTTTGCTCCCCACCAGCCTTCTCTGCAGCCTTAAATCAGGAGTATAAACTGACTAAAGCAAAAGCTTGTTGGTGATTTTGAAGCCCACAGCACATGACTGACATTTACACGCACACAAGTCATAAAAGTGACCATATGTGATTAACTTAATGTATGATGCATTCCATAAGGTGACTTCTTTTGTTCTTCAACATTAGTCAAATTGTAATAAAAACAATGGCACATATTTTGTTCTAGAACTAAAGTTCAGTTGGTAGGAAATAGCCCATAAAAACAGCTACAAAAAATCTTTGCTGAGAAGTACGGTGAGACTGCCAGGTTTTGTTTGAGAACTGTCAATTGCATTAAGTTAGCTAAACGAGAATTTGAAAGGTTCTCCTGCATAAAGAATAAGAAATTATTAGCAAGATTCCAGGGGGCCTTGCTTTTTTTTCTTCATTGCAAATGGTGAGACATCTAATAAGCAACCACAGCACCCAAAGGTAATTTCAGACTCACAACTGTGGGCCCAGTTATGGAAGAAAAACTGCGTCTCATAAGAACAAAATTGCAGGGTCAGAACTTCTTCTATCAGTTCCAAAACCCCGGAATGCAAACGGCAGAACGTGTTGGGCAGCTCTGTTCCTCATCAAATGTCCTACATGAAACCCTTCTATGAGTTTGGAGATCGCCTCTGGGCAAAGTCTCTTCTCACTGTTCTCTTTTCCCTTTATGTGCTCTACTGTAGCATCTCTGCACTAGTGTCTCAAACTGATAAGCAACCTACAAGCCCTTGGGAGATTCAAAGAGTCAAAGAGTGAGTGAAGCGAAAGACTTGCTCTTTTTAAAAATTTTCACTTAAGCCACAGCAAAGAGTGGAAAGTTCCCAGCCTAAATCGCATTTAATAAATGGTTTACCCAGTCTTATTACAGGGAAGCATGTAGGAAAAAGCAAATGAAAATAATTTTCCCTATCAACTACCATTTGCTAATGAACTACCTAACCTCTTTTTTTAAAAAGCATATTGTAGTGATGACTGAAGTTTTCTGTGTGTTTTGGAAAAACAGAGGTGAGCTGAAAAATCATACTACTATAGTATTTTTTTGTCAAAATCAAATAAGTGGTATTTCAAAAACCATCTGGGATAGATAAGCTGATTTTCTGCTGGAATAAAGTGATTTTCAACTTACAGTTTCAACTACTTGGTTAATACTTATGTCATCTTATTCACCACTGGAGGGAAAAAGGAACCCCAGGTGGTTCAGGACTTACCAGCTTGTAGCCAAATTTGTTCAAGAATTGTCCACAGTTGCATAGGTCCCTGCTTCATTGTGCTGCTCTGCATAGTTATTTCAGACATGGCCTGTTCCAGTCTCGATGCAGCAAGGGAAGAGGCTCGTTGTGACCCTACGGACCAACAAAACAAGAACAAAAAGGATATTTCTTTGACTCAATAAGGCAGCAGGTCCGATCCTTCACACAATATAATAAGAGCTCTACTGAATTCTGGCATGACCAACTGGAGAACTATATTTTATAAAAGGTTAATTTACTGAAAAAACCCTGCTAAATTACCCAAGGGTTGCAGCTCAAATAAGCAAATTAAGAGACAGACAGTAATTTTATAAAGGTCTGCTTAGCATTCATTAAGGAAGCAACCATATTTTGCTCATTTGGGAAGCAGAAGTCTACCATCAAATATTTCCCACAAATACCTTTTAACAATCCATTTTATAAGCACAGTCACCATACAATTCCAAAATGTGCCCCACTAATGTAAAAACTTAGTACAGCATTACAAGGTAGTTTAGCTCCATTCACACAGCACAAACATTTCAAGGGACATCAATATTGTTCTACTGATTTAGAGGCAATGTGGTTTTTCATTTAACCTTAGGGGGCAGAGAGTTCAGAGCTTTGACTACATTAACCTTTAGTATGCACTGTAACATTTACGCAAGAATAAAGTATTTGGCACCCACATCTCTGGGACAAAACATCACATCAAAAGCTACTCCCAGAAGGAGTGCATGGGCGGAGACCATGTTCTCCAGTACAGCAAGTGGGATTATCCTGGTGGACTGATCTCTTACAGGGGTACCAAGAGGATGATAGCAAAATAAGAAGTTACAAAATGAGATTTCAGAGTTGACTTTGTAAAGCTTTGAGAAATAAATATTTTAATATACATAGATTTAATGTGACTTAAGGTTGATAAGCTCTTCTCTGGAGAGTTGCTGTGACTGAAACACTTGTGCTAATTAGCATTACTCTTGAATCAATCCTTACACGTTGACCTCACAGACCACAAGATCACAGAGTTCAAATCCCTCTTTCACTCACTGCAGCCACCCTGAGGGAGCAGCAAAGCCCAGAAACAGGTACTCGGGGAAGCTGAGATGGCTCTGGGCAAGGAAAGGGAGAGAAGGGCAAAAAACCTGTCACAGGGCCTATGCATTAAATGCTCTCTCTGAGAGAGACAGTAGCTTTTTCCCACTGAAGTGTGCTGAAGAGGGGGTTGCCAAACCACACCTCCTGACCAGCAGACTGATACATCACCCCGGGCCAGGGTGCTGGCAGGCACAGCAGTGTGGCCTCCCAGCCATGGTCTCCTGGCCATCGCCACTCTGGATGCTGAGCAGGGACCCAGCCTCCTGCCAGGCATGACGGGAGGCACTTTTTCACCTCATGCTCCTGTGCCAAGACACCTTTGCATTGCGAGGCAGGACATGGCTGCAGCTTCTACCAAACCTGCAGCAAGAGTGTCATGGCTTGGGAGAGACCACAAGCCCAAAACTGCTCCAGGAAATACTTGTCCCATTATCTCACCGCTAACTAATGTCATTCATTTTAAACAGGAGAACGTCAAAACAGTCCCCAAGCAAGGGCAGGACACTCCCACAGCAGGAGAACGTCAAAACAGTCCCGCAAGCAAGGGCAGGACACTCCCACAGCTCCCTTGGAAAATGCAAATGTGCTCTTCCTAGCTGCATTTCTAAAATTCCTACATATTTTCAAAGACATTCCTTTACTAATGCTCCTCCTGATCTAATGTTCCGAGAGATGACAGTGCAGTAATGTAGCAATTACGACTTCACCAGTAGGGTAAAAGCCACTCAGCTTTGCAGGGAGAATTCATTATATTTAACAGTTTATTTAACAGATCCATCTTCAGCCTGTTCCATTGCACGAGATTCCTCCCCCTGCCCTGCCCGCTTAGTCTTCTCCCTCATCCCTACCCCCACCTGGGAGAAATTCCACCAAAATTCCCAAAAAATTCAAGTCAGACTACAGCTGTTTGACACAGGGAAAACTACCATTTACTCCCAGCCATCCAAAAACACAGACAGCTTCTCTGAAGTGCAGAGACAAGAAAATGGACACATGAACAAGCTAGTGATGTTATTAGGAGGACTTTGAAATTAGGGCAGACTTCTTGCCTTCTAGATTGGCAAACATGGAAAAAATTACATGTGCTTTGAGGATTGTGCTGTCAGCCTAACCAGATTCTTATATTAGCACTCCTGATAATGTTAGCATGCTTTGAAAGCAACTTTCACAATTATATTTTTCTGCCAAGACTGCCCTCTTCCAGAGAGGCTTTCTAGAGCTGTGTTTCTTGCAAGCACCCATACATGATGCTGGGCTCTTTGCATGGGGTGGGCATATGGGTTGGTGCTTTATTCACATCCTCCCAGAGCTCAGGGAAATCCTCTTTTCCTTGCAAGTCAATCCAAGAAAACTATTTCACTGTAAGGCACCTTTATGCATTTTGAAGAGGTTCACACACTGCCTAAGTAGATCCACTTAGGATGACTAAAGCATCCTTCCCTCACAAAGCAGGCTTTACAGGAATATCACAGTGAGCTAATTGCACACAAAGGAACACAAGTTAGCTGCTCTTTTTCTTCTTTTCATTAGCCCAGTAGTTGCTAAGAGGGAAATTTGACATTGAGACTGATCTTGCCCCGTGCAGTGGGCTTCTGCACAACCATAAAAATAAGAACACAAGTTACTCAGAGATTTACAGCAGAGGCTCTTTGCATTTAACAGCCTTTGGCATTCCAGTCCTTTAATCTTTACTTTCTTTTCCTTCTCTTCCAGCCTACATGAGAAAGCAAACCACACTAGGCAGAGACCATCCCATCTCTTCCCTTCCCATCCCTGCCGGGCCTCAGACACAGATATGCTCTTTGTTCTAGACACATAAACACCAGATGAAAAGGCTCTGTCCATCATAGTCCATACGTCCACTTTTGCCACTGCTGTTCTTGCCCATCACTACTGGGCTGCTCCTAATTTGGTCCTCTGTCTGACCAAATAAACTCTTTAAGAGAAGGTTTTAGCCAGCCTGGCCCTTCTGGACTGAAAGGGGCTCAGCCACAGCTCTGAATCTCAGGCAAGCAATATGGTGACCCTGAAGGTGGGCTGATGGCTACTGGACCCACAAAAGAATATCCCCCTAACACACACCTCTTCCTGAGAGATGAGGTCAGCATGTATTGCACTGGCATGACTCTGACCTCAGGGTAGTTGCTTTTAATCAAGCAAGATTAAAAAAAAACACAAACATCTGAATGTCTCATTCTTCCTAAAGAAATGTAGATCTTTATAGGCTAAAAAAACCTCCCCACAGAACCTGTCTCACAGAATTGTAATGTCATGCCTCAAAATACATGCAAATGTTGGCATAAGAAGACATCACATCAATTTGTTATTTTAGTGCAGTCTCTTTCTCTATTTAACAGCTCCACTAGACAGAATATAAACTTCACATTTTACAATAAAGCCCTTCACACATTTGGGAAATAACTCATAAAAATAACAAAACTGATTTTGTGGTGATGAGCTCTGCATATAAGCCATACAAAATCTATCCAAATAATTTAAAAGCACTGTTCCACTGTTATAAGACCGAAAAGATCAAGTTTAATATTTTGCATCTATGAAAAAACTGCTATCAAAATAGAAATGTACCTCAGTAGATTTACTAGGCTTATAAGAAACACAGAATTCCCTAGCCTAAATCACTTCAGGCAATAGCATTATAAGATAAGACTAAATCAGAAAAAGAATGAAACGGCAAGGCAGCTGACTGATATCAGTGAATTTAGTTAGAAACATTGCTTCAGCTAAGAGAAGATGAAGAAAATAAAGTGGAATTAATCTTTCTAGCAGCAAACCTAAAGTTCTGGCACAAGAAATAATCTCATTGTGGTCTAATTGAGGGAGAGGCCAATGTCAAGCCCAGCCACAGCAACCCCCTGCCCCCTTCAGTGATGAGTCCAGAGATCAAAGAGTGCCTGTGCATTACAGCAATACTGCTGCATGCTCCCAGGGGATTTCACGATGGAGACCAGTGCCTGTTCCAGAATGATGCAAAAATATCAGACCTCCTCCCTCTTTCAAAACAGCCAGACACAGTCACAGCTCTGGGGAAGCACAAGGGTGAGAGAGGCTAGAGCTGTACCCTCCAATCTCACCCCCTACTGTCTTCAAAGAGGCTCCCAACCAGGACAGCAGCCTCAGCTGCCTCTTTTCTGCAGATGGAGAACAGCAGCATCCAAAGCCTGCAGAGCAGGGAGTCACAGACCCCTTTTGAAACCAGGCAGTGCCAGCCCTGCACTAAGGTGGGTGGTGTAATTTCAGTAGGAGCTCCATCCTTATGTCCATTGGGGGGGCAACCATGTTAGCATGGAAACATGGATTCTCAAAGTAGAGGAGGAATACATTTCTTGGCTAAAACCAAACTGCATTCAGTGCAAATCACTTAAGGTGTGTGAAAAGCTGCTTTAAAGCTTGTACTGTACATTAATTTGCTCTTCCTGGCAGGCAGCACCATGGCATGCAGCATTTTCTGCTGAACTACAACTGCTCTGTTGCAGGCTGGCTGCTAGAACTGGGCTAAGAGAAGGCTGGAACAGATCCCCAACCCAAGTGCTTTTTGAGGAGGGCACTATATAAGAGCCTAAACATGCCTGAGCTTTGCTGTGACCCTGAAGAAGATGCTGCAGGTCTGCAGCAGAAGAGTGAGCAGGAGTCAGGTCTTTGAAGGGTGATACACCAGCACATCAAAATATTACAGGCTCTACTGGTGACATTTTGGTCTCAAAATCTCAAACCATGCTGTAAGTGGATGCTGCCCAAACCTGGCCACACTTTCTACAAACAATTACAAAGCAAGGCAAGGGATCTCCAAAAGCACATGGGATCCACACCCAGAACACCTTTTACACACCGTTAAGCTCCAAGCTAGAGTTGAAGACATAGGGATAAGTCCAGGCTCAACCTGGGCTCACAGTCTAGACACCACAAACCACTCAATGCTTTAGCAGCAGAGTGAGAACTGGATGAATAATAAAAGTACTGTAGCAAATATTATTTTTGGGGTTTTATTACTTTCATAGTAATCCCTAGTGGCTGATGGATTCTGCAAACTACCTACAGTGTTTTTCAAACTATTTTCACATATTCACTGAAAATGAGAGTTCATTTTATCACCCAGCATCAGAGATGATAGGATATATTTCACAAATCTTCAGAATTATCTTCAAGTGACAACTATCCTAAATGGTTTTGTATTACCAGGAAGTTTTCATGATATATCCACTCTCTTTTCCTGTTTATTTTTAATATGCCAAACAGCAGATACTTATTTAGTGTATCCTCTTCATCCATCTGTGTTGAATTTGGTCTGTTCTCTTCAATTTAGCCAAAGACTTTAGAACACTGCCATATAAACAATGAGGAAAAGGGTCTATATAAAATACAAAGAGTCATCTCAGCAAAGAGTAAGAAAAGAGAAATGGAATTTAAAAAATTACATAAATATGTGTGCATAGAAGCAGTAAGATAACAATGTCATAAATATAGACCCTAAGGGTTTAACACCACAAACAAGAGAACAGACATGCTGAATAATATTTTGATGTTTGAATGCTCAAAACCTGACCTTGCAATGCTTTTTAACCATTAGTGGGTGTAAATGGGAATTAAGCACACATTATTTAATAAAAGCCATGTACTTAACACATATGAACTTGTCATCCATCTCAGCCATATATGCTGAGCATGTGATTTCAATTTTATGAATTCCTGGTGTTCACGATTTAAGACACAGACAAACCCTAATTCCCCAGCCCCAAAGCATGTGACTTGGTTATGTGGGGTTTTTTTTAAATCAAGCTTTTATATTCTTCTTTTTCAATTTCTGAGTTTGAGGTTTGCTTTTTTTTTTGCAAGTGTTTCTTCTACATTCACAAGGATAGAAATTTGCTTTCCTAAAAAACCCTTCAAGTTTAAAGTCAAGTTTCTCACATAATCATCTGATTTTGAGAATCAGGGTTTCAAAGGAAGCACCAAATATCACGAGACCTATAATAAAAATCACAAGTCGGCAGCAATCTCTGAAAGCTTCCTTTCCCCTTCTGCCAAGATTAGCTTTGATGCCTCAGTTATTTTCATCTGACTATATCTGTTACTGTGAATATGTATTTACCATATAATAAAACATCACAAGGCTTATGCAGAAATCCCAAAGCAAATCACCATTTAATAGGAATTGACACTTTCATTCAGCTTTCCAAAACCAACAATAGCAGCTGGCTTGATCAGGACATCTAAAAAGGATTAAATGGGGGGGGGGCAGGAGGAAAATAAGGACTGAATTAGACAGTTCTTGTAAAAGTGTAGTGAACTCCCATCGAATACTTTTCATGCTTGACTTAGAGAGTTTTGTAATAGAAAGCAGAAACTCATCTCTGTTTTATGCCTGGGGAAGCCAAGGTACAGGCAAACCACAGTGGCTTCTGCAGCAGAGCTGGCCATGGAGACAGATTTGGACCTCCTGACCAGCAGTCCAACATGAATATGCACAGCCCCGCCACCTTTGCCAAACAAAATAAAACATTCATCTCTCACAAATGCATGTGTTTAGCACAGGAAAGCACAAATCTTGCTTCCTCACCAGAATCGGTATCATGAGCATCTGGGAGAGTGAGATGCAGTCCGTTATGCCTTTTGATCACCGGTGTTTCGGTCACACTACTGCATTTCTCAGAGCCACTGTAAAGAAACAAAACTGTGTTACCTGGCCATCTCTCAGTGAAGAACACCTCCTCAAAGTAGGCAATAGTCTAGTTGCCACTAGAACTGAAAAACCAAGGTTACCAGTTGCATGAAATCAGCTTCTTGAATGTATTAACGCCCCCCCTCCCCCATCTGCCAATGGACAGGAAGCTCAGAGACACAGTGACCAGCAAGGGCTCCAGGGCATGTGCTGGTATATAGTTTATTTGGCTGTTGGAAGTCTTTGCAAACCACAAGGAACATGTTGGCAGCTAGAAGCCAGATCAGAGGAGGCCCACCATGAAACCCTCTTTCAGCAAGAATCACCATCCCTTGGACTTGTCTGCAGAGTAATTTGTTCACAGGTCTCCTATGCTAATCTTTTTGAAACAGACCAATTACCAGCTTCCACCTGGGTGCTAATTTCTTCATTTTTTCATTTCAAAGGGCTTATTTTCTCCTTTTCCACGTTTGTTCTGTTCAAAAAGAGGAGGAAGATAAAAGCTACCACACAGCACTGCTTTATGAAAGGGTGAATATCTGGTCTGCTCTTCTACAAGACTTCTGTCCTCATAGGAGAGGCCTTCCAAAGGGAAACTCGAAAAAAAAAAAAAAAGTCATGTGCCTTCCTGTGACCATATAGTCTGCCATCCCCCAAGGATCAGTGGTGATGATACCTCCTCTCATCATCTATTAAGGGACAAAATATCAGAAGGAGAAGTGACTGCCCTGGCTACTTTTTCTGGCACACTTCCAAGCCTGCAGCTCAGCCTTTGGACAATATTCCTTCCAGGAAACAAGCTGTCAGAGAGTCATGATTACTGTGGATGCCCCCGTCTTTCAGTCTGATCAGTCCTTTGGTAGGGATTGCACAGAATTCCCTTGAATTTGCATTAATCTAGCAGAAGAATTAGCTTGGGACTGCTATTTGGTGTTAAACACGATTAGTCTGTTACCACAGAAAACAATAGCAAAAGATAAACCAAATCTTGTCCTTCGCAGTTAACAATCTGGGAAGCCACTGAAAGCCACTTAGTGTCATTTATCATAGCAGAAATCATATTTACAATACCTAATTAACCTTTTATTTGGGCTTTGGGATCAAACATAATGGTTCCTGTTAATGAACCCTGAATTCTTGGGCTTTTGACTGCACCAAACTACGTCCCTGAATGGGCCTCCCTGTCTTCCATACTTGTTTCCACACTGACACCTCATTTGAGACTATCATGTGGTGACAGATAGAAGGAAAAATTAAATTCTCTGTCCTGTGCCTCAGCCTTGCCTAGCCAGGATTTACCCAAGTGTAAGTGTCCTGACTGGGAGCTGCTGGTGGAACTATAGGGGCAACTCAGTCTTACTGGTGCATTGCGTATGCAGGAACAAGGCAGCTGCACTTCCAAATATTACTGCCATGAGGTGAGCACTGCTTCGATGCAGCAGCCATCACCACAGGATCATTGTTTAGGCACATGCTGAAGCACTGGCTTATACGCTGTACTCCTACTCCAAGGACCAGTGAGGAGATTGGAAAATCCCAGGCTGAGAACCAAGTGGAATGCATTGTGCAAAATAGCCACTCCCAACAGCTTAATCTGTTATCCTGGAGAAGGGCTGAAAATTAACTACTCCTTAACAGCTCCAGTAAAAGGCCTTCAGCCAAGAAAGCCTTTCCATGCACCATGGAAGGGACAGTAGCCAGATGATTTGCCTTCTGCATACAGCACTGGAAAGGCTGACAAGCAGGACATTTTGCCACTTTACTGCCCATGTTTTTGAAAGGTAGTTGAGACAGTGGTCAAAATGGTGACAAAAGTACTGAAGGGAACACTTGATTGTGAGAGACTGCAGAGGCACAAGTTTGTCAGAGAGAAGACAAAAGGAGAATTGAGCATGGGATATGAATAGCTGCCTAGGGGTAAAATATTGGGCCCTGAAAGACTCTTCAGTCTGTCAGTCACAGTGAGACTGCAAAGCCAGGAAGCTTAGGCCAGACAAATGCAACTAAATGTAACTAAAACGCCATTTAGTGTGTAGGCAGTTATCTACTAATTAAACTAGTAAAGAGTACTGGGTGCAACAGCTCTCATCTTTCTGTAAATGCAAGCTTTTTTTTTTTCCCAAGAGGCCCTAAAGAATGCTGAGTCCAAGTCTCACTGATAAGAATTCCCCTTAAGTTCCTTTGCAAGCCCTACCCAGAATACTTTACATATTTGTTAGCTGATAGTGCTGTAATTTGCTTAATATAGGAGCCTTCCTGTGTCACTAAATCCAGTCTAGAACCACAGGTACCAAGTTCATTCTTGTTACCTTTCAATTAGTACCTCCCAATAGAAAATACTTTATGATGTATTTTTTGAGAAATTAAAAAAAAAAAAAAAAGCCCTTCTGGGAATAGAGGTGAAATACACACTGGGGTTCCTAAAAGCAAAAGCAATTTGTTTTGTTTAGGTTTCCATGGCTAAAGCTTATTGAAAGCCCCTAAAGTTATCACATCTTGGGTTTATAAGTATAACTGCCAAAGCACAGCCTGGGATCCAAATGCAGTCCAAATGGCTGAACTATTTATTTGTCTGTTTTCCAACATACTCTCTACAGTCCCAGGCTTGCAGCCCCGCCCTTGCAAGAGTACATCTTCCTCAGTAATAATTGTTTAGCATGGACTTGATCAGCTTCACAAGGACTACTCATGTGTATGAAGATTATTTGTGTGAGAGGTACGTGATTGAATCCTTAGCTAAAGAGACTAAGGCCTAAGGAAATCAATGATTCCAGTCTGTAAGAGACCATTTCTCTGCTGCTATGCAAATATCTTGATTTTTGTGTTTGGTTTGCTTCTCATTAGCTAAACCAACAAGAATTACTGATAATCCCTCAAGGACAACTTGTACATAGACATACATCATTCTGTACATATATTTCTGCTGTTTATAAGGCTTATGTAAATACATACAGAGATCGAGGAACAACACAAGCTACCTCAGCCTGCTGTCATGACTGTTGCCATCAAGCATGCTGTCCTTCTCATCAAACTCCTCTATGGACATTATTGGTGAAAGATAAGTACAGTCTTGGTGTAACATTCCCAAGACAGTTGTACAGTGATACCTTGACTAGGACAATATCCAAAGGGTGTGGGAAGGAAGAAAACCCTAGTAAGTATCTTTCACACTTTCTAAACTTTACCTTTTGGTGGGGCAGCAGATAAAAGGAAAGAAACTAACAGGGAAGGCAGCACTGTTTAAACGCAGATTTACTAGGACAAGGGAAGGGAGAAAGATGCTACATTCTCCACTTCCTTCCTTGCCCAGTTAGTACCAGGCTGTGCAACTAGCATGCGACTACAGCATATGATAGAGTTTGGCAACGTGCCTTTCCTCGGCTTACTCACTTCGGGACTGTCACCCCCACACATTCCTGGTGCCAACTACTGCAGACTGTGAACAATAGCTGATGAATGCTCAGCACTCCTGAAGAAAAAAAAAATCTGCCCTCTATTCTGGACATCCAAATATGGATAGAGATGTTTAGACATTTGGATCAGAAACTATTGGTTCAAACTGCTTCTTCAATAATAAAATACTGAGGTCTTGTTTTTGTTGGTTTTTTCTTTTTTTTTTTTTTTTTTAAAATAATAGCTATTAAAATCTTGCCTTTCTTTATCATAGCTAGAAATATTACTTATGTTTCAAACAGTAGTGTTTATTACTCTTTTTTCCAAAAAAACTTAAGTATCTAGAAAATTAAAGAAGATAACTGCATCCCCAGTAACAAATCTGAACTTCCTACAGTGGAGAAAGCCTACCTGTGCTGTGAAACATTATATACCATCTGCCACATCTGCAACATACGTCTGCATGTGATCAGAGCCTCTTCAGGTCCTTTATGTATCCATTCCAGTTTTACTTTGGTGAAGAGTAAGCTGCAAGATGAAAAAGAATAACTCCTGTTTTATTGGCATCTCATAAATGTAAAGAATCAGTATCACTCTAGTGAGACCTTAGCAGGTGGCATTTTTACTTCCTTTGTATGTGCAGCAACAAAAGAAAACATCAGAGCACAAAACATTTCATTTGGCTCAACTTTAGATTTCCCACAAGGAGATGAGCGGATTAACAATATTCCTCAGCTGCAGTCAAATTTGCGTCACAAAGCCGACAGGACAGTGTTAAAAGCAATGCATTGCAAAGCTAGCAAGGTGAAACATACACTGAATCTCACTTTATTTTAGACAGTATTGAAAACAGAACAAAAAGTAATTGCTATAATACATATGCCAGGCTGTTTTCTTAGTCTGGCATCTTCTTATAGTACTGGCTTACATAATAAATTTCAGGCGAAAAACCCAGCACACTTAATATACACAGATAATTATGTAATGCCTCACAAGAAGGAAATGCTTTTTCTTAACCCCAGCTGGCAATCATTTCATGCCCCTAGGCAAGACAGCTGATAGCCTTGTACATTCTTGTTCTAGGTAGTGTAACTGGTGCTACTATTCTTATACCTAGAGACGGCATACTTGCACAGACCACTGGAATTCAGCAGAATTGGGTCACGCAGAGGTTAGAAGACAGATTTGGCAATGACACAACCTACCACTTGCTGCTAGCGTGGATTTTAACACCATCCTTGACAACACTCATTCTATTTTAATTGCCAAGATGATATGATTTATTTCTTATTTGCTAATGCAAACTTACTTCTCACCTTTAAATTTTTCTAGAAAGTCCAATATCAACGCATTTTTAATGCACTCAATCCGGCTAGCGATTAGGCCACTGAATGCACATATGTGTACACACATGCCCGCAACAACAGCAGAATGTTAAAAATCCTAAAATCAGTTTTGCGAATGTGACCTGCAGGCTCCTGAGGAATCCAAACAACTTCAGAAAGAGACAACAGCAACTGCATATAGGATGTTAGAGAAGACTTTGTAGTTGAGTAAGAGATCCTTCACTTGGAATAATTAGAAATCTGCAGCCAAGACACTGTGGTGTATTATCTACAGTAACGTGCTAATGCCGCAGTCCCATTTGGCACTAATAAACATCAGGTTGGGGATTTGGGTTTTAGTGCATTTTTGGGGTGGGAGGGCAGGGGGGACTGCTATACAGGGATGTCTGTAAGTGAACTGGGCTCATAAGAACAACGCTTGTTCCAATGCAACAGAATACAGAATCAGTCAGTTCAGTGCAAGAAATATATATCACAGTAGAAAGATGGGAGGCTATGCCCTGGAGTATACTGGTATTATAAAAGATAGCTTCATGAACATGAAGTTCCTGAGCAACAATGCAGTTTTCTGTCAAGAACCCCCAGCATTCATATATGGAAGCACAATCAAGTAGGAGCTGGAAGATGTGGTTATTACTGATCACAGCATCAGCAAGACACAACAATCCTGTTTCTAGTTCTTGCTTTTTAACTCTAGAAGATGACTGAAAATGGGATGAGGGTAAGAAAAAGGTTATGCGAGTGATCTGAGGGCTAGAAAAACATATTTCATCAGAGGCTTAAGAAGATCAGTTTATTCGGTTTAACCAAGAAGCAGCAAAGAAATTATTTTGCCTCAGCCTACAAACACCTACATGGAGAAGCATCTCATTGTGAGTCCTGGATCTAAAAGAAAAGCTACCAGAAAATCTAAGAATTCACTGGAAGCTGAAACTAGTCAAATGGAAATGAATAAGTAAATGCATTCGCATAACTATTAAGGAAAATAATCTTTGCAGTAACTACATGTGTGCACAGTAAATTCTGTAGTCATTAAAGCCTTTTCAGCAAGACAGGATAACATCTGGAAAGCAATGGCACTGTACAAACAGAAGCTGTGGGTTTGATGCATAGGCTTGTGAGTAAGTTTCTTTGGGTTGCTCTGTGCAGAGGGGTAAGACTGCATTATCACCTTCCTTCTGGAAATTATGCTATTAAAAATATTCTTCTAGTCCTAGAAACAAGCACATAAAAAAATCTAGGCTATTTTAATCATAGAGAATAATTTTTCAAACCACTACAAACTTGCAAAATGAAAGACCTTCTGAAACACTGTACAACCCTCCTTCCAGCAGAAGAACGGTGGTTAAGGAGATTGTGGTCTAGAGACCAGTCGTATTACATTCCTGAATAACACCATGCTTTTGAACACAGTAACACACTACTCAATATTCATTACATAGAAGAATCTATTGACAGTCAAACTCCTGTACTGGAGGGTTATATTAAGGATTCTTTCTCCCTTTCACATTAGTAGGGACATAGATGGCTTGTTATCAGCAAGCAATTACAATCACCACATAGTATATTTAAACATTGCAGTTAAACATTAAAAAGATGAACCAGTACTTCATTACTCTACTGTTTACTGCTTACAGTGAATATATGTCAACTACTTTAGATGAAGGTGCAATCTTCTATCTCAGTAGAGAGAACAATTAGTGAAACAGGAAAAAAAAAGCAACTCTCACAAAAACATAATGAAGCCTCAGCACAATACTACCACCAGTCATAACGCATGGGCGCACTACAAGATCTTGGAGATACCATGAGCTGTTAGCTGTTGTGGTAATTCACCTTAGGAATAGCATTATCCACGTTACTGTGTAGCAATATAATGAACCAAACCAAAAGGCAAATGGGAAGAATGTAAGTGGCAAAAGGAATCAAACCATACCAACGGCAGCAGTAAACAGTGCAATTAAACATGACAACTAAAAGGTGGAAATACAATGAGGATATTAGGCTGCATGTGCTATATTCTGTCATTCTTTCTCAGTTACTAATAAGCTTTATAACAGTGAAACCAGACAAACAAATACATAGAGAAAACACTGAAGTAGTATCACTTATCTTAAGCTTGTAATTTTATTACTGAGACAGCACTCTTGCTACACATAAATCTAACGAGTATTGTGTCCTATCAGTGTCTGTGCACAATTTCATGGACATAAATAAAAATTATTTATGCACAGATCTCATTATATTTTCTTAATACCATTGTACATTTGTATGATGCTTGTAGTACTAAGCAGCATAGACTCTTAAAAAGATTCAACATATAAAAATAGCCCCAAGATTATCAATACAGTTATTGATAATTCTGTTAATCTCTGAATATGAAAACAAATTTGGGATAAAGCAAGCATATACATTGCTACTACATAAGCAGAAGAAAACAGAGCAAAAAATCCACGAATCAATCTTGTAACATGTGCGATTTCAGGGACAGTAACAATGGAAAATAACTATTACTTATTCTTGATAACAGACTCTAAGCTCCTTATCAGAAGAGAGTTTTTTTATAGGGTATGTGGACAGTATGCAAAGGCTTTTATTCCCTGATGTAATGTCAAGCTACTGCCACAAGCAAACACACACATCTATCACAGTAACATTAACTCTAGCAAATTAAAATCTGTAAAAATTTGCTGATATCTGAAGCTCTGAAAATGCAAAATTAGGTTTCCCAAGTATCAAAATTTCAATAGTATAAATAACAATATGACTACAATATGACACGAGACCAGAACACTGGAAGGCTACTTCGGTTGGTTTCAGAAGGCATTCAACATTTGTCTTCATAAAGGCTGATTTCAGCCACCTACCTAGCACTTCCAAGAGTCTTCTAATCCTACATGGCTCAGTGCTGAGCCTTTAAGTTCTTTGATACTTCCCATGAAGAAAAGAGGCAGTTCCTTTCTATCACTGACAATCTAATTACTGAGGTTTAATAGCTAATACTTATTATCAGAAGATTTCGCATGTGCATATGGTATACTATAAATGCTTATGAGCACATCTGTGGAAGTCATAAGTTGCTATGTATAGCAATAACTGATTGACGACTTTATGGATGCTCTAGGACTCTATTAAGATTTATTAATCAGTTAATTATTGTGACTTTTAAAAGCTGCTTTAAAATGGAGTTTTTAGTCTCAAATGTAGCCCTTGAACCACACATTTACACAGCATCACAACGGGATCTCTGTGTTATCATCTGACAAGCAATAAATAATGCCAGTACTATAACAAACAATAACACCTTCCACTCATTTCAAGGTTGAGAGATTAAATTAGGACTAATGAGTATTATGTAGTCATTTATCTATATATTTTGCGATTCACTGTCTGCTTATAACCCCTCCAGTTCTTCAGAGTTTGTGAGCAGCTGCTCAAAGATCTACATGTCTTCAAGCTTTACCAGATCAGTGGTGTCATTCCCCAAAGTCTTTCATTATTTACACAGATTTGTCTACCTACACACACAGCTGCTGGGTTATTTTGGATTCCTAATACAAAGGAAAGAAAACAAATCACCAAAACCTGTAGCAGTATATCTCAATTCATGGAGACAATTGTGTGCATTAGCATGAAGATACTGACCTTCGGCAACTAATACGTGTACTTTGTTTCATTCTTTTTTAAATGACAGGATGCATGTGGTTGTTTGTACAGACATTTGCCCGGAGAGAGAAACCAGAATGCTTGTGACTGTTACGAGAACAGCAAATACACTTTATCGAGTGACTGATGGGGTGTGGAGCAGCATGCAAGTGCTACTGGACAGCAGCGACCAGCTCACCCTACTACCTCTCTGAACCCCAGATAAATATTCCACACCAGCTCCACTAAAAAGCAGGGGACTGCCACAACCCGGATGGGTAGATGGCCCAAGTCTGCCCCCTGAGGAACTGCAAGGCATGGATTCAAACCCCCAACACTTCAATCACTGAACTCTTGAATTGGTTTCTTCTCCTTTAAGGTAATGGATGCAGAAGGAGGATACAGGACATAAACTAATCTAACAGAACTGGAAAGAGGATGTAGCAGACAAGAAGAATGATCAAAGTTTTGGAATGCTTTTGATATATGGAGACAGTAAATAGACTTCTCAGCCTGAAAAAGAGGCTGAGAGAAGAG